GCCTAGCTTTAGCGCTAAAGTGATAAAGCTAGGCTAACAGCAGCCTAGCTTTAGCACTAAAATGATGCATATACGTCAGTATTTTATTAATGTTCTCATCTGATTCTCAAACAGAAAGAAATTAGTGTTTGGGTTTTTTAAAAATATCAGTGGGCCATTAACCTTCCCTCTGTAAATGATTGTTATTGTTTCGCTGTGTCCAATCCAGCCAAGCCTATCAGACCTGGTCAGCTGCCAGGGGCTCCCATAAACTTCAGTGTCAACAGGTCCAACCTCATCCAGAACAACCACCCTACCGGCATTAAGGGAGGAGGAGGCAATAACAGGCAAGAAAAACATGCACCCTGTTTCCCTGCAGTCCTGGGTTTATGAATTAGCGTTCATGTTTGCTTAATCCTAATACTTTGAGTAACCTCTGTCTGAAGATGGCCTCCCAGTTTATAATTAGCTAAGACAGCTGGGCCAAGTAAAGGCTTTTTGAATAATGGCTCAATTACAGCTGCCTTAAAAGCCTCTGATACGTATCCTGTTGATAGAGATAAATTAATCATATTGAAAATTGATTAATTCAGTCTTGTAGAAAGGGGGACACAAAAACGTGACAAGCCAGTGATGACCAACTTATCAACTCTAAGATGATTCATGTTTCTTTTCTCATTCATTCTTTTGCATCTATCCACAAGTTTATGGACTTCATTATTAATTGTTGTCAAAATTTCTCCCCCTCACAGTCCCTGATGGTACTAATACTCACTCAGATACAAAACCAAAGAAGCAGACTGACGTGGACATCCATCAGCTGAATCGTTGCACTATTCTTCCAATGTCTAAATGTGTATTTACTGTACATAAGCGCAGCATAAGCTGCAAAGCTGCTCTTTTAAGCTCTGTAAGCACTCATAACTCGTAATAGTGTCCTGCAAAATCCACTTTTATTATGACAGGCTGGTGTGTTTCCTTTTCCCAGGCACAGATAATATTTTACATTGTGCCAACATGCATGTACATACAGTATCAGACCTTGATGGCCACCTCAGCATGAGAGCAGAGATGAAAACAAGGCTGAACGAAGGCCTTGATTCTTTCGTCTGTTTGTTGACTTATTGATTGGTTAAAATGTGACATGCGCAGTTCACAGATGTCACAAAAACTTTTGAAGGCAAAAAAACCCCCACTTTAGTTGTACTCATAGGAAAAAGGAAGTTTTGACAGGACTCTGTGCAGTCCACTCTTACTGTTCCCATAGGATTTACGAGGGCACATAGTAGCCAGGTGCTGCTAATCAAATGCACTTGATTAACAGATCATCAGCGAGTGTGAGCGCCTCTATGAAACAGATGTTTTGCCAGTTTGCTAGTCTGGAACATTCGGATGTGTTTTAATAATGTTCCACAGTTTTCCCAGGGGAAAATCACCCAAGGTCAGATTGTGGAGTTTTTGGAAAATCTGAAAAACAAAAAAACCCCCGCCAAGAGCTACGTCTCTTAGCGTGCTAAATGCTAACGTTCATGACAGGATGATTAGGAAATGACTGCACAAGTATGACTTGTTTGGAAAGGTTGCCAGGAGAAAGTCTCATCTATTGGAAAGGAAGATGGCAGCATGATTTAGGTTTGCAAAGTTGTATCTGAAGGAACTGCATGACTTCTCTGGGTAGATGAGGCCAAGTGTGAGACCATCTGTCCAACAGCTTAAGCTTGGCTGAAATTGGGTCATGCAACAGGACAATGGCTGAAAAAAAGAAAAGGTGTTGTTTTGGCTCAGTGACAGTCCAGACCTCAACCTGATTGTCCTTATGCATAAATTCAGTTCAAAACTCAACAAACTGAAGCAATGTAAAGTTGTGTTGGCCAAAATTCTCACATGATGTAAAGTTATACAGAAAACAATTACTGCAAGTTAATGCTGCTTAAGGAGGTTATACGAGCTACTGAATTGTGGGGTGTACTGAGTTTTTCACTGGACTGCACAGACTACTGTGAAAACTTTCTTTTTCACGACTGTGTCTTAGTTTATGTCACTGAAGTTGCACTGCTGCATTGCAGCACCTTTTGCTGGAGACAGCAGAGGGCAGAAATGGCATAAGCATAAAGCATGACCGTGTCTAGCATTATAGAACAGAGAATGATCTGCCTATGTGTAATTGTTATTATTGTAAAGATACCTCAATAAAATCAATCTGGAACCGCTGTCATATTTTGGTGTGATAGCTTAACAAGCTAATAACGATGATGCTGAAGCAGCAGTTTTTTGTCCCTTAAACATTTAACATTTTATTAAATGAATCTGTTACTACAGTGCTGGGTTCAGCTTCCACTGCAGTTTTCAAATGTATATATTAATAATTATTATTAAACTTTAATTTGAAAGCTTGCTTGGTGACTTTATTTCCTGTACCATTGGGATAACTTAATGGAGGGGGGGTTAGTTGAGGAGATGAAGAAACTACACAGGAGTATATGGGGGGGCATCTATTAAAGTGAGCGGTAGCAAAGGAAAAAGCTTATACTGAGTTGTATGTGAGACTGGACGCTGAGGAAGGAGAAAGGGACTTGTGGTGATTGGCTGCAGACAGAGATTGAGTATGTGCAGCGTGATTAAGAATAGAGATGGAAATGCGCTAACATATGACGAGTGTTGAAAAGGTGAAAGGAGGACTTTGATGAGCTGATTAATGTAGAAAATATGAGAGGGTATGAAAATAAACAACCAAACAGGAGGAAAAGAAGACCACAGAAAAGATTGATGGATGTCATGGGCCAAACACAGGTTTGACAGAGAAGCATGCTCGGGATAGGGTGACATGAAGGCAAATGATCCACTGTGGCAATCCTTAAAAAGAGCAGCCAGAAGACGAGTAGGAAAATAAATACAAGAAAAACACATTCCCTACCTAACACATTAGGTGGGGAATCCTGCCTCAGAAAATTCTGAGCATCAGACACTTGGTTTCCTGTATTTTGGGAAGTTTTTTTTTACTTTCAGTTTAGCGCGGGAGACACAACTCAGGCACCATTGAACAGTTTAACATCTGAGTGAGATCTAAACTTTGACAAGACTGAGCACTGAGCGGTAACAACATCAACGGGAGCTGAAAAAGGTCCTGGCTGTTCTTTTGTGTCATACCAACTTGTACCACAGGATGGTGTCCTAACTCAACCAAGGCAAGTCACTGAAAGCATTCCTATGCTGTTTTCCAGACACTCCCGAGTTAGCCTGTTCCAGCTTTAATGTCAGGAAAGTGAGAAAAAACGGGATTCGTTTTCTACTGTTTATATTGAAGGCCGCCATCTTGGATTGCTAACTTGTGGTTGGCGGGGCTGCTCTGACTCTCTGAGTAGGAAATCCAAGTTGAGTTGGCATTCCAAAATTTAAATTCCGACTTAATCTGGATCACACCATTATTTACAGTGGAAGCATGGAAAAGGGTTTTTTTCCATGCTTCCAGGATAGGGCTTCTAAGAAACAGCAAAAGCGAAAGGAACAGCAATACGCATGGAAAAGTGCAATGTTGCCCTCAGTGATAAAAGTCTGAATTAACATTTTCTGAAAAAACTGAAAGCAAGTTAGCAAGTTGCTAGCACACTAGCAAAACGTTAAAAAAAAAGAGAAAAACAGCCAAAAAACTTCTCTAAACAAGACTGATGTGTACTGAAATCAGTGCTCGGAACTGTCATTTCCTCTTTACAACAACACGTTGTGTTTTAACACAGAGTTGTTTATGACACATTCATACATTTTTCTAAGATACTATGGTTGTAGTGTTTTTGCCAGAGGCTAAGTCTGGGTGAGTGACTCCACTGAAGCCTCCCTGCTTCCTGGCACTAAATCATTCATGTTCCTGCTTGGATGGGAAAACACTCTTCTTTGATCACCAAAAGAAATTTCAGCTCAGTGTGTATGTTTGGTGATGTTACACGATTTAAAGACTGTGAAAATTAAAAGCCTGGTTCTGAAGGGGAATAATTTCATCTTACTGTCATGACCTTTACCTTAAGGAAATTTACAACTATTCCAAGTTTACCAGATCAAAGTCAAAGACCCCCAGGGTGTTCGGCCGGGAGAGGCCAGGGAGACCTCGAGGCTCTGAAACCCGTCTATCAGCGTTGACAGACGGGCGGAGTGGGAGTGACAGACGACTGCTGTGTTAAATGCCCCAACTGCTACAGGGTGCAATAAAGTACGCGAACTCAAACCGGAAACAAGTTTGTTTGTTCATGAAACTAAAGGTCCATCAAAAATCGAAAAACTATTCAACTGAAAATTTTGCTGATTACTTTATCACATCATGTAGGATTATAAACGCAAGTCAATTAACTCCCCAAGCCTTCAGGGATTTGTTTTTTTTACACAGTAAAATTTTCTTCCTAAAAAAACAAAACAAATGTGTGTTTATGTGTGAGGATTTCCTCTGAGATGAAATGTGTATAATATGATAATATAGTAGCACAGTCCAAGGACTACAACTCCGTTCAGCGAGGAGATTGTTATGCTTGGACAAATTAGTATTGCGGAGTATTGTGATATAAATTTTAGTGAGCAAAGATATAAATATAATAAAATGTGTTCTTTACGATGCAAATTAACTTCAAAACAAAAGTTCCCTGTAAAGTTCCCGTAGCATAAGACGAATAAAACAATAAAATAACCAAGAAATATAATTATCTGTTGCTGATTTGATAACCGTGTTTGTTTGTTTTTTAAATAACCTCCAAAATGTGTAAATAATGCACATTTGATATTTTTTAAATAAAACTCTTTTCCATTGTTTTGTACATTTGTGGGTACAGAGTCTGTCAGTGCCCCACAGCTGTGTGACTGCATCAAGCGTAATTCATTTTCCAAGAAATAGAAAAGTGCAAAGGCAAGGTTGTCTGTTACTAATAATATTATTATTTTTATTATGATTATATAAATATGGCTCTTATGGTGATAGCGTTATCGTGATTATCTCCAATAGCGAGAATTTGACGGAGGCAGATTTATTTTGGCAATTATGACCGGATGTGCGCTGTTTCCGCTCGGAACTTGACAGCCTGTGGAGAGGCGGCGGATTGCGAACAAGCTGGCTGAAGGACTTGAGGTCTTCTGCGGACTCAGTCGGAGCGGGCGGGACTGAAATAGGTTAGAAAAAAGTTCCCTCGGAGTACCTCTGCGGTCGGCACGAAGCACGGAGAGACGAAGCGGGAGTTTCTTTTTTCTCGAGGTGAGTGATTTTATCCTGGCGGGGCGCGATGGTCAGCGCGAGGCTATTGGCTTCTGTCGGAATTACTTTGTTGCTATGGCACGCTGTTTCAGAGCGCGCGGTGGTTCGTACTCGAGTGAACCTGCAGTGCTTTTGTCCACGCATGAAGCTTCTCGAAAATACCCCGAAAATGTCTGCTAGTGGGAAAATAAACTAAAGAAACGTTGTTGATATTCTACTGAGAGGGTAATTAAAGGTTCCACGTGATAGCATCACTCCGTGTTGATGGGCTAATTTCCTCTCGGTGTTTTTGGTTATTTGTCCCGGTCCGGGAGCGACATAAATAGGAGGAGGGGGCTTTCTTTGGCAGGCATGCCCTCCTCTCCCCTCGCTCCTGGGAATCCTTGGTGATGTCGATTCGGAGACCCTTTGTCATGAATTCACATGGATTAAACTCCTTTGTGTTGCGTTACTGCAGTGTGTGTGTGTGTGTGTGGAAGGGACCCTACCCCCCACCTATACCGCCCCTCACCATCGCCTGCCTCCTCAGGCATGCTCTGAGTCCCCCCCCCCCTACAATTTATAGACTGCTTGCCTTTAGAGGGGGCTTTTCCAGTGCTGTGTCAGGGAGAAGCAGCGTTTATTTCCCATTGATGCTCATCCACATATGCAGCAAATAACCCGCATAGATGGGATTATAATGCAGCAGGAGCACATGTTGGAGTGGATGCTGCTCATCCACACATCTGCTTTGGGTGAAGCATAGGGACAAAGGCAGTGCAGGTCTCAGGGTGTTTCTGCTGCTACAGTGGCTTGTCTGCAGATGTATGCAGGTAAACGCTCTGGTCGTGATCTCCTTGCTGATGCCTAGCTTGATATTCTTCCATCTGCACCCACCCAGCTGAGAGACACCTATTTCTGTCACCGGATTGTTGTCACTGGTTGAGGATTTCGAACCACCTGGCTCCTCTTTTAAAACTCCACAAAAGAAACACAGCAAGTTTATGGTTATCAAGGTCCATATCGACAGGGACAGGCAGTATTTGCACAACATCCCTTTTTTTTTTTTTTGTAAGAGTCTGCTGAGCAACAAGTTGGCCAGTGCGCTCCTGTAAAGCTGCACAGTGCTGTGACACCCTGCTGTGCAGTGCTGGGGATTTATTTCCAACAAGATTTACTCTCGAGTCCTCTGCCAGAACCACAGCAGTTGAAAGGAGAGACGAGGAGCTCCATATTTCAGCTGCATTCTTGCTGAGAAGTTGCTTTTAATAATTAACAGTAGTGACTAGTGGAGCTGGGGGCCCCTTCCGAGGCTAGTGATGTCATGCTTGATCTCCAGCCAGTTTCTCTCGGTTTATGCTCCCATTAGAGCAGATTTAATCGTTTGGTTTTGTGGTCATTTGTGGTCAGTGTGGGAAATGGTTTTCCTTGGGTATATTTGGGAGCCTTTCAGATAGGTGCCTCAGCTTCAGATGCTAGTAGTTATCTGTTACAACCTTGCATACTACTACGTACGCGATCAGGGACCGAAGAGCTTAAACTCACTGCTCTCTGTGTTAGCTTCCTGTGATGAAGTCAGGACAGTGGCTGCCATGCAAACTATGGTGATAATGGTGTTATCACGTGGAAGCCCTAACAGGCACGTGACTACATCTTTGGCAGCTTTGCTCATGGTGTCAACTGTAGATTGTGTCTGAGTGGTGCATTCTTGCCCTTGCATGTTCCTGAAGAGACGGTCATTCATAAAGGCTGATGCATGTGTAATTTGACATTACAGTTGGAGGTTGTGCTGGGACAAGCCTGGACCGGGCTGCTTTCAGAGACACACACCCAGAAAGCTGTGGCTTGATGCAACTGTAACACTTCATAGTGTTGAAACAGATGGAACAGACACTATTAAAGCTCATTATGGACATCTTTCATGGGTTCCCACTCTGGCCCAGACGGCTCTTACCACTGTAAATCTATTCTGGGTGTAGCTGTCTATTTCTTTACGTAAGGATGGGGCCCTTTGTAGATTTGGCGGCATGTTCTCACGCTTCACTAATAGCAGCTGCTTTTGCCGCCTAGACTTCAGTCTGTGGCGGCTGGTATTTCAGGGGCAGGAGAAGAAGAAGAAGAATTCAATATGAGGAGATATTAGGTTAACTGATGAAAGGATACTATCCGATGGCTCAATGACAGGTCTCGTCCCAAAACAAACTGCACAGGAATGGCGTGGGGCCCAGCTGTCTTCTGACTCACACACTGAGTGTACATGATATAGCAAAGAGATCGCCTCAAGCTTTTAAGAGGTTTCACACAGTGTCTTGTAGCTGCATTAATGAGTAATGATGCCAAAGCTGCAGAGCAGGACTCATAGACTTTATATCAGGGATTCCAGTCATGTGGTCCAGAACCAGCCTGCAAGAGGATACAGTTTTTAAATAAAATACTGAGATATTCCTGGTGCGA